ACTTATCTATTATCTCTAACATTTTTTGTGTGTAAAATCTTCAGGGATCTTTATAGATAAGATCATGTCATCTTCAAATTGAGATCATGTTACTTCTCTCTGATTTGGATGTTACAGGAGTGTGGCTGATCAGACTATTTCTTAAAGGCTGAGGATATCTTTTTTAAAAGAATTTTTTTTTTTTTTCAGTTTTGCCACAGGCACATGTGTTCACCAGAGACAGAGAGAAAGTGAGAAAGCCAGGGGCCCTCCCATTCCTGTTATTTTCCCTCCTCAACCCATCTAGTCATTGTTAAGGTAGAGTTTGGGAGCTTGGGGCAAACATGTTCCCAATGCAGGTGTAATCCCTGTGAATTACTCTAAAAGCTCCAGTTTGCTTTCAGGCTGGTGACTTGGAGCTGAGGCAAGTATGGAGTATACACAGTACCACTGTGTCTCTGAATCACTATTTGCCCCACCCCTCGTGGAGCTGTGGGCTGGCCTAGGACTGAGGGCAGGGGCCTGCATGGAAGGTGGAGAATAGCAGGAGAAACATGGGCTCAAAGCTGGGAGTGCCTTGCAGTCACTATCTGACTCTTTCCTGCATGTGAGTTTACCCTGTAGTAAACCTGTGCAGTGTTTTACTGGAGTTGTCTTGTTCTCATTTTCAGTCACTCGGATCCCACACTAGACTAGATCTTTTGTTAATTAATTAACTACGAATTGCTCTACTCAGCGCTTCCATTACCATATTGAATAGAAGTGGCTCCAGATCCTAGAGGAAAGGCTTTCAGTTTTTGACCACTAAGTATATTAGCTGTGAATTTCTCACACATGGTCTTTATTACATTAAGATCATTTCTTTATATTCTTTGTTTGCTGAGTATTTTTATCATGAAAGGATTGTATTTTGTCAAATGCTTTTTCTTCATCTATTGATTATGTGATTTTTATCTTTCATTTTGTTGATGTGGAATATCACCTTGATTTTTATATATTGAACAATCCTTGCAACCCTGGGATAAATCTGAGTCATGGTACATGATTCTTTTCATATGGTGCTCAAGTGGGTTTGCTAGTATTTTGTAGAGAATATTTGTATCTACATTTATTAGAGATATTGGCCTGCATACTTTATTTTTTTTAAAGAATTAGTCATTTAATTTATTATTATTATTCTATTTGACCAGAGAGAGTAATAGAGTGAGAAAGCAAGCAGCCATGTTCAGAATTTGAACCACTGTCGGCCATGTGGGAGTCCAGCGACTTAACCACCATGTCAGTTACCAGCCCCTGCATGTTTTATTTTGCTTTGTTTTTCTTGTATGGCTTTGGATTTTAAAAAAGGGTAAAATGCTGGCCTCATAAAGTAAATCTGGAAGTGTTTCCACCTCAGATCTTTGGAAGAGCTTGAGAAGGATTGGCATTAATTCCTCTTTAAATGTTTGGTAGAATTTTCCAGTGAAACCATCTGTTCCTGGGCTTTTCTTTATTGGAAGGCTTGTGGTTACTGGTTCAATCTCTTCAATAGTTATAGGCCTGATAAGATTTTCTATTTCTTTGTGATTCATTCTTGGTAGATTGTGTGCTTTTAGAAATTTATTCATTTCTTCTAGATTAATCAATCTTCCAGCATGTAATTGTAGGAGTTTTTTTCTTTTGTTATGTTTTGTTTGAGAGAGAGAGATTTTTGCTATGTGGTGTTTGCGCTTGCTGGAGAGACAGAGACAGAGAAATAGAAAGCAAGAAAGCAAGAAATTACCTCCCCCCCCCCCCCCCGCCTCCCTCCCACCCCACCATCCCACTCTCCCGCTCCTAGGGGGATGGTCATGCTGCTGCAATCTCACGCACAAGTGCCTGGTGTGAGTTTAAGTCACCAGGTCTGGTACTCGAACCATAGTCAACTACATGAGAGTCCAGTGACATAGCCATTATGCCAACTGCTGGTCCTGTGGCTGTATATTTCTTCCTTCAGTTTTGTCAATGCTTGTTTTATGTATTCGAGTACTCTGGTGTTGGATACACACGTATTTATAATTTTTCTATCTTGGTGAATTGACCCTTTTATTGTTATATATTGTCTTTTTCTCTTGTGACATTTTTTGACTTCAAATCTATTTTATCTAACATAAGTATGGCCACTCCTGCTCTCTTTTGGCTACCATTTGCATGGAATATTGTTCTCCCACCCTTCATGTGTGCTCTTAACTCTAAAATGACTTTCTTATACCCAGCATATAATGGAATCTTCTTGTTTTATCCCCTGGGTCACTCTATGTATTTTGATTAGAGAGTTTACTTTGTCTACATTTAAAGTAATTACCTATAGGGATGGACTAACTGCTGCCCTTTTGTTGTTTTCTGTCTCATAGATTTTTATCTTTTATCCTCTCTTGCTGTTTGCTGTTTCCTTTATGTTTGACTGTTTTCTGTCTGTCTTTTCTTTCATACGTAACATGCTTTGATTGCTTTCTCATTTTTTTTTTCTTTTCCTTTTCTGTATCCTCTGTAGGCATTTTTTTGTGTTAACCATGGACTTACATAAAACTTCTTTTTTTCTTTACGTTTTTGCTGTAGTGTACATGTGTTCCCTGGAAAAAAAACAGATAGAAGGGAAATGAGAAATTTCCTCCCAGGAGTATGGCCAAGGCACAATCCTTTCTCCTCTTGGGATTTTGAGGATGCAAACACTTACACCTGGCATGATTTTTAAGCCACCAGGTCCAGGACTTGAACCACAGTCAACCAAATGGGAGTCCAGTGCCTTAACCACCACACTACCTACTGGCCCCATAAATTATATGCCTTTAATGTTGTGTATTCACTAGTATATTTATAGTTATTTTGTATGCTTTTTGTCTTGTCACTTCTGTACTATTGATAGAATTAAAAGTGACGTATGTATCAAAAGTGATGTGCTACCATGAGAGTATTACATTATCATGGTATTCTGTTTGCCAATATATTTATTTTTTACCAGTGAGCATATTTTATATGCTTTCATGTTTCTTTCTAGTGTCCTTTTGTTTCAAATTCCCTTTAGCAATTCTTATAAAGGAAGGTCTAAGAAAGACTTCATTTCTCTTGCATTTTTGAAGGACATGTTTGCTAGATATAGTATTATTGGTTGGCAGTTTTTTCTTTCAGCATTCACTCCACTCCTTCCCAAACTTCAAGTTGAAGAAATCCACCAAGAAATCCATTAGTAGTCTTACAGAATCTCCCATATATAATGACAAGACTTGTCTCATACTGCTTTCAAAATTGTCTATCTTTGACTTTTAACAGTTTTGATTATATTGTGTCTCAGTGTGAACTTTGGGTTTATGTTAGTTAGAATTAGTTGAACATCTTGAATCTGGACATTCATTTCCTTCCCTAGATTTGAGAAATTTTCAGCCATTATTTCTTCAAAAGTTTTCTGTTCTTTCTATTCTCCTAAGAGTCCTACATATATGCAAATTTTCCGGTTTACATTGGTTGATTTTGTGGCATCTCGTAAGTCTCTTAGGCTTTCTCCAACTCTTTGTTTTTCTTTTTACTCCTTTTACTGGATAATTTCAAATGGCCTATCTTTAAGTTCACTAATACTTTGTTTTCATCAAATCTGCTATTGAACTTCTTCAGTGAATTTTTCAATTCAGTTATTGTATTCTTCACTACTTAACTTATGTTTTTTTAAGAAATATTTTCTATTTCTTTGTTGAAATCTCATTTTGTTACACATTATTTTCCTGAACTCATTGAGCAGGAAGCATTTTAAAGATATGATTTCCAGATCCTATTGGCAGAGTTTCTGTTTCAATAGATGTGGGGTGAAGCCTGGGAAGCTGTATTTCTTGGAGGTTCCCCAGATGATTCAGATGGATATGCAGATTTGGAAACTATATACAGTGAAAAGACTACCTTCAACACCTCCCAGCTTTCTCTAAGGTGCCATTATCTACCAAGCAGTACTCAACTTTTTTGTATTATTTAAGGGCTTTTAAAATTTGCTTTCAGGAAACATTCCTAGATTAAATTCTATCTGATCACAAACTTCTTATGCCTCTCCCTGGTTCTCTCCACCCTCAAATGTGCTTACATTTCCATTTATGCATTAATTTGGCATTTCTAGTCCATTGACTTGCTGAATCTTAGGTCATCATTGTCTAAAGTGTACAATGTCTATCTTAATTGCTTCATTATTTTTATTATTTTATTAGAGAGATTTTTGCTATAGAGAGTGTGCACTCACCAGAGAGAGAGAGAGAGAGAGAGAGAGAGAAGACAGAGAGACAGAAAGCAAAGCAAGAAAATCACCCGCCAGGAACATAGCCATACTGCAGTCTCTTCTCCAGTCTCCTCTCAGGATTTTGGGCATGCACACGCACACACCCACCGAGAGTTTTAAGCTGTGGGGTTGGGACTTGAGCTGTTGTCGACTATGTGGGAGTCTAGCAATGTAACCATAGAACTCTGGATCCCAAGTGCCATTCTGTATTCCTCTAGGGTATGACCTCAGATGAGTCATTTTCCTTCTCTGGGTCTTAATTTCCTCATCTGTGAAATGAGGGGGTGTACATATGGTCTCTATGTTATTCCCTTTTAGTCTCTGACATTCTCTTTCCTCCTCTCATGCATTCCACAGCCTAGAAAGTGTAACTCTGGAGACACTCCTGAAACTCCACCCTAAATTTAAGGAACCAGAGAGTTGACGAGCTCTCCCTCCACCTCCCTTTCTGAGAACAACAATGGCCCTGAATGATGTTGATGTGCAGAAACAGATCAAGCACATGATGGCTTTCATTGAGCAGGAAGCCAATGAAAAGGCAGAGGAAATAGATGCCAAGGCTGAAGAAGAGTTCAACATTGAGAAAGGGCGCCTTGTGCAAACCCAGCGACTAAAGATTATGAAGTATTATGAGAAGAAGGAGAAGCAGATAGAGCAGCAGAAGAAAATTCAGATGTCCACCATGAAGAATCAAGCAAGACTTAAAGTCCTAAGAGCCCGAAATGACCTCATTTCAGAATTGCTCAATGATGCAAAGCTGAAACTCCGCAGGATTGTGGAGGACCCAGAAATCTACCAGAAGCTGCTAGATAAGCTAGTGCTGCAGGCTCTGCTCCGACTGCTGGAGCCTGTGATGATCGTGCGCTGCAGGTCACAGGACCTCCTCATGGTGGAGGCTGCAGTACAAAAAGCCATCCCTGAATACATGGCAGTCTCACAAAAACATGTAGAGATCCTGGTTGATAAAGAGGCGCACCTGGCTGTGAACACAGCTGGAGGTGTAGAGGTCTACAGCAGCGATCACAGAATAAAAGTTTCCAATACCCTAGAAAGTCGACTGGATATCTCAGCCCAGCAAAAGATGCCAGAAATACGAGCAGCCTTGTTTGGAGTTAATGCTAACAGGAAGTTTTTTACATAGGGCTCTGGAAACTAACGTTTGTGCTCAATTGCTAAGCCATTAAAGTCTAAAGTTATTGGGGAAGAGGAAATTAGTAATGTTCCCTCTTTTTTGATTCTCTGATTTTGTTCTATCTTCTTTCATGAACTAACTACTCTTTGAATAGCTGAGGGCAGTATAAACTGTTAACTGCGGAATGAAGCCCAAATTAATGCTCATAAATGGATTTCCAGATCACCTACACATATTGCAACTTCTGGTCAGTCCTGCAGTGTGGGATGAGGGAGTAAAGACATCTGTTTTTCAGTTTGGCCTTGTGTGAGATGTGTACAGTGTTCTTAGCCTATGGGTCTGAAAGTTCTGGATTTCTTTAATATGCGTGTGAAGTGTGTGTTCCTTCTTTTGTTTCAGCTTTAGTACTTGCACTTGTGTTGCTTAATACAGTAGCGAGGTCTTCCTTATATGAACAAGGCCAGCCTCATAGGCATATGAACACTACAGTCACACAAAGCTCCATGCTCAGAAAGGCCCAGCACTTGGGTTTAATGCTTTGTAGCCACTGCCTTGAAATTCCCAATTTTATCTGTGGATGTATGTTTGGTAAGTGAAGCCAGATGGGGCACTGGAGTGCGTGCCAGGGGTTTGGAGGTATGGCTCCTGCATGGTACTAATCCCTGAAGTTTATCAATCTCCCCAGGATGGGTTCCTGGCCACCTACTTCCCAGTCTTCCCTGACCTCCCCAGTGAACATTGCCACCCTCCACTACTGGCAAGGGCCTGGTGTGCTTGAGAGGATGATCAGAGTGGGGTATGCATACTCTGTGGAGTTTCAGGGCCTGACAAAATGGTGGCCATGCTGTCTCAGGTTGGCAGCTCCATGGTTCAGTGAGTGCATGACTGAGGGAGGGTGACAATCGCCCAGCAGATGCAGAGCATGTCCTGATGTGGAGAATTAAATACCCTGAGAGTCCTCTCTCTGCTGCAGGGTGGCCAGCCTACTGGGAGGGAAGACACCTAGTTCAACTTCCCTGATTCTTGTCTAGGCACAGTGCATAGGTTGTTGGTCCTGTCATAGGTCGTTGGTCCCAGGACAGGATGTTGTTCCTGTCCTTTAGTCATAGACATATAAACAGACAATGACTATGGAAATGATACAATGTGGTAAGTGCTGGCCTGGTGCTGATACATGATATTGTGGGAATGCAGTGACAGGAAGGGAGGGTCAAGAAAGCTTCCTAGGTATTGCCAGTTGAGCTGGGGAAAACATACAGGCAAAAGAGGAAAAGTGTATGCAAAGGTCCTGTGGTGTGAAAAAGCAAGGCATGTTAAAGGAGCTGTGTGGAATTGAGTGTGGTGGTGGGATGGAGTATGAGGAGGAAATGACCAAGGATGAGGCTGGAAAGATGAGTGTAGCCTGATTATATAATGCTGTGTGTTCTGATGTGTTTAGACTTAATTCTAGTGCATAGATGATGAGGGAGTCATCGAAAGACTGAGGCCAGCAGGTGGCATGGTGGTTATATCTCAGGCCTCCCACATGGCCAACTGTGGTTTGAGTCCTGGAACCAGAAGCTTGAAAATCATGCTGGGCACATGTGTATATATGCCTGGAATCTTAGGGAAGAATGGAGGAGAAGGCATTGTGGCATGGCCATCCCTCCCGGGGGAAAGGGTGATTTCTCACTTTCTTTCTCACTGTCTCTGTTTCTCTTTCTGGCAAGCACATGTGCCCTATGGCAAAAAACTCTAAAAAAAAAAAAAAAATGAGAAGTGAAAGCTGGATGTCTAAGGATTATGGGAGAAACTGGAGGCAGACCACTATTTATCAGCACTGAAGGCACTATTTATCAGCCTCGGAGATGATAATCTCCCTAGCTCTTTTGTGAAACAGATGAAATTCATTGCTATGTAGGCCTGGAGAGGTTAGACTCAGTTACCAATGTCCTGTGCACTCCTTGCTCTGCTCTAATACAATTTTGCACCTGTCTAGGGCTTGGGATTTTAAAAGTTTCATATCATCTTATAATTTTTTCCCCCAGAACCTTAGCCCTTCTTTCCTAATCATCATTTCAGGCCCAGTAAAACCTCCCCTTCCCAGCTGACCAATCCTCCAGCTGCTTCCCTTTCTGGGAACTTAGACCCCTTTTCATACTGTAAGCCAGGTTTCTAAACCCATGTGGCCTTCCCAGCGCTGACCCTGGGAACCAGCTTCAGTCAGTTATTGGCCCCCATGTTAAATCATCTCCAAAAGAAATGGTCACGTGGGCTCTGTGAAAGGTTTTGTGGACAGCTGAGCTTTAACAGTGTCTATGGTCACAAAAACGTTTCCCCAACTTTTCTCTCTTTGTCCCTAACCTGCTCCTGCTCTGTCTCCCGACTCTGTGGGCTTCAGTCTCTTCCCTTACTGTATTCTTTCACCCAACCAAAACCCAGTAGTTGGGTTGTCAGCTACTTTATCTACTTCTCTCTTATTTTCAGACACAGCTCCTCATGGGCAGGGACTCTCTCTCTCTTTCTTTCTTTCTTTTCTTCTTTTTCTTTTATAAGTTTATTTTTTCCATGAGCAAGAGAGACAGAGACACAGTGAGAGAGAGAAGGTAAGACAGGATCACCAATTGGGTCTTTCGCCACAATCTACTCCCAGCCTCAGCTCCAGATCATGGGCATTTGTGTACCCAGTGTATTCAGGGAAGTCTCTAGACACAAACCTGGAGTGTCTCACATGGTTTGCCTCACAATGTTGTGTTTTACCACTGCTCTACCAACCAGCCCATGGTTGGTATTCTTATTCTTTCCATCCCCTGTGCGTCGTCAATTGAGTGCCTACATTGGGTGTGTACCTCCTAGCTTCTGAAGAATTGGTTGCCATGTTCTTCTTCCCCAGCCTGGCTCTGGTTTCTAAATGGGGGCCTCGAGAATCTTTCTCCTCTGCTGGCCCATAGATTGGGTCATAGAAAGAGGCAAGTATGTGAGACGTGGGACAAGGGAAAGGTATCCGCATTGTATTCCAGAGCTCAAGACTATTCGGAAGAAAATCCTTGACTGCTCCTGGGGAAGGCTGCAGTTGGGAATAGCCTTAACTGAAGGCAGTATATACTCCTGTCCCACTTCAGACCAGTGGTTGGTTCCTTTATGGTCATGCCTGGGGGCTTATTGTATCCCTTCCCTCCTGGGAAACAAATGAGAGAGACTCTGTAGGTGCAAAGGTAGAGGGTTGTGCAGGGGTCAGGCCTATGCTGTGTCTTGCAGAGGTGGCTCAGCCATTGGAGAAGCACAGCCTTTGTGTGCAGGTGGTCCCCAGCTCTAGACTTGACCGGTGGGGTATGCAGCTTGTCACTATCCTATGTCCAGATCTGATGGGCATACCCCTTTAGCATCGGCTTTAGAAATGCCTGTATTGGGCACTTTGTTAGCTGACTGGTACAAACATATGAATACATGCATTCTTTTTTTACTGTTTTGCTATAGGGTGCATGAGCTCGCCAGAAAGAGAGACAGAGAGACAGAGAGAGAAAGCGAGAAATCACCCCCCAGAGGGTGGCCATGCCACAATCCCCTCTCCTCCATTCTCCTCTCAGGATCTTGGGCACAGATGCACACACCCTCAGCGTGATTTTAAGCCACCAGGTCCAGGACTCTAACTGTGGTCGACTACATGGGAGTCCAGCGACATAGCCATTACACCAATTGCTGGTCCCAATACATTCATTCTTCACTAGCATCAACATCCTGCCCTCAAGAAGCCATGTTCCTAGTGTGAGCTCCTCAGTCCTGTTTGCCAAAAGAAGCAACCAGTTGTAATTGCAGGCAGGTACAACCCTTCCCCACACCTTTCCCCTCATTAACACTTTCTCCCTAGGTGCAAGGGAAGCTGTTTGCTGCTATTGTAGAGGCTTTGTTTTGGTGATGAGGCTGCTGTATACTCATCATGGGGAGGGGAAGAAGGCCTGCCAACCTGTGGGACCAGTTGGCAGTAGTGACAGTGGAGGGAGAGTTAGTTCTGATTCTGAGCTACCCAGAGAGTCAGAGATGGAGGGGAAGCTTTGACCATGTGGCAGCACCTCAGGAACGCAGGAAAACCGGAGCAGCAGGGCAGAAAGTACCAATGGGCTTTCTCTCTGACTCTGCAGTCATAAGATCCCCCCAGGAATGAGTCAGCAGAATTACTTCTGGCCCAACCATGAATCAGCAGAATTACTTTTGGCTCAACCACAGTCCCCAACACCTGTGGGGTACAACTGCAGCCCTGTGAGTTCTCTAGGGACATTGCTCAAATCTTTGCCCCTTTGCTCTCCCCAGTGTACCCCCACAGCCTTTCCAAATCATAAACCCATTGCTGAAATCTTGTCTGTTACTGGCAGTGCTGGGAAAGGAGTGGACTTATCTCTCCTCTCCTACCTGCCTTTCTATGTACTTCCTATTTTTTTAAGAGGTTTTTGCCTTAGGGTATGTTCACTCTCACTGGAGAAGAAGAGACGGTGAGAGAGAAAGTGAGAAATCCCCCTCTCTTCGGGGGGGTATGGTCAGACCTTAATCTCTTCTCCATTCTCCCTCCAGGATCTTGGGCATCCATGCACATGCACCTGATGTGAGTTCCAAGCTACTGGGTCTGGAACTTGAACCTCAGTCAGCCATGTGAGAGTCCAGCGATGTAACTACTGTGCCATTTGCTGGCCTCCATGTACTTTCTAAAGCCTAATCAACCCTCACTTTTTTTTGGTAGTATCCCATGCTTTTTTGTGCAATCTGACAGCTCACTCAGTGGTCTTGTCCTATGGAACAACACTCCTTTGACTGGGAGGCAGTTTACTCTGCTTCTCTCTACAAACACAGCAAAAAGGGATCCTTGGAGACTCTGGGCCAGCTCACCACATCCTATAACACATCCTAGGAGTGATGGAATTGAGCATATTCATTCATTGCTGGGAGATGAGCCTATAGAGTGATGTCAACTCTTCCTGATGCTACCAGATCTGAGTGGATTTGTGCCCTGCAGGTTATTGAAGGTCTGGAACTGGAAGGGCTCTTTTTTTTTTTTTTTTTTTTTTGAGAGGTTTTCGCTATAGTGCGCTCGCCAGACAGACAGAGACA